GAATTCAAAGGGCATGGTTAATACCCAGAGATAGGAGGATGGGACCTTTGCCCAGATGATCTCAGTGAACAGAGTATTAGTTTTGAGATAATGTCATTATTTCTGAGAGCTAATGTAATTATTTCCGCTGAGTTTTGGACTTGTTTGGTGCTACTATCTCTTCTAATTTCTACCATGGGAAAGATGTCAACCTTTTGCCTTTTCTGCCATTGTACTTTGGAAGCAGATAATTTGTATTGTAGATTTCATTCATTAATAACGGAAAAGGAATTTTGCCCCAGATAGGACATGTCTAAATTCTGAATTAGAAGTTTCAGAAGAGATTTTGGTCTTAGAATTTATTTAATACTTTTGCAATGATATGATACAGTGATTTTTTTTTTTTTTTTAATCTGGGGAGAGCATGGGTTTTTAGGAATGAAAGGTTAGAATGTTATGGATTGAATTGAATCCCACAAAGATATGTGTTTTCAATTCTAATCTCTAAATTTGTGGTTATAATCCATCTTGGAGATGGTTTGCCTTTGTTATGTTAGTGAGGCGGAAATCGAGCAGGATGTGTCTTGAGTCAATGTCTTTTGAATTATAAAAGAGTAAACAAGCAACCAGAGCAGAGATGGGGGAAGAAAGCCAAATGAAGACTGCACAGGAGAAGCAACTCAGAAGAGACAAGGATCTTCCTCCTGAGCTAACCAAGAGGGGAAGCCATTTCCTAGAGTTGGCATCCTGAATTTGAACTTTCTCCCCTAAAATGTAATAAAAGCAGTTTCAATTTGTTAAAGTCACTCATTTGTATTATTTCTGTAATAGCAGCACAAGATAATTACGATACTAGTGGAACATTTGACTTGCCATTGTTAATCCTATGCTTCATCCACTTGCAGTAATTGTTCCCCTCCCTCAAAGAAATAAAATAAACAAACAAAAACTTTTTCACATCTCCTTCCTCTTAGTCCCTCTTCAAACTCATCTTTTTAATCTAAGAAATTGGATTGATATTTTAATCCACAGTTCACATATCACTTGTGTGGAGCTCCTCCATGATCTATTGCCACCAATTCATTTCTCTTTTGCTCCCATTAATAGTTTTATTGAGAGCTTGCATTTGGTACTTATCACATGGTAACCTGGTTCTTTTCAACAGTGATTTATTGAGCTCCCACTCTGTGCCAGTCATCATGCTCGGCACTGGGTGCAGAAGATAAATTAGATACAGACCCTGCCCTCAAGGAGCTCACAGTCTAGAAAGGGAGTCAAGGATGTAAACAACAACAAAAAAACATCACACCATTGTGATAAGTGTGGCAGTAAGAAGTGTATATATAAGGCACAGAATTAGCAAGAAAACGTTATTCGTTTGATTGAGATATAGGGAGATCTGGAAAGACATATATGCAAAATGATGAAAAAGTATATCTCTGTCTGTTTTCTTTATTTTATCGTGAGCTCTTTAAGGACAGGGGTTATGTCTCATTCATCTGAGTATTATCAACATAGTGCCTAGCACATAGCAGATGGTCAATATACATAATTGGAAGGGTATGAATCTGGTTCTAAAGCACAAAGTATCTAAAAGTTAAATTTTATATTCAAATAAATGGTTTCTTGGTTTTGCTTTATTTAATGCCTTCCTTGCCACTGTCTATGTGTATTTGCATGTTTCAAATGAATAACCAAGATTGTTTTATTTATTTTACTTTTTATTTGACCATTTTATATGAGACAACATTTTTTCTGCTTCATTGTCTCTTTCACTTCCTGGTCCTCTTAATCTGCTAACTAAAAAAAGAAAGTGTGTTACTCTAATCAATTACATAAGAATATGGTTATGAATCAAATAAACTAGTTGAACTTTGTAGATTTCTTTTAAAAATATTTTTTTCTTATTTATGGAAACATGTATTTTGTAAACAACATTGATTTAAAATATTTATTACAAAGTTGAAATAAAAAGTATGAGTGTCTTTGGCATCAGGTCAGTTTATATCTAATACCTTATTAGAAAATAGCTGATGCTGGATCTCATTTTGTGTCTTTTGAGCCATGAAACCTGATAGATTTCCATTAAGTTGAATGCAAAGGACATAATAAGTAATTTTGTTCTAAAAGACATGTTTTGTGTTATATACTAATTACTTTATATTTTTTAAGTGTTTTCCTTTGACCTTCAGAATAGACTATTTCAAAAGACTAGCTGAGCATTTTTGTAGCTCCTAAATGAACCCACATTGATTATTATAAAGACACATTATAAAAGTTCATTTCCATATTTTCTTTTAAAGCATGACATATAAAATAGAAATATTTAATTTAAAGGGTATAAAAATTCACATCATCACCATGAGAACTTAATTTACAGATGTCTACACATGAAGAAATCTGTTAGCTGATTATGTAGCAACCTGACTCTGGTTCTCAACATTTTCTAAACTTATGTTCCTTGACACCATATGCTACAGGGAACAGTAAAGACATCTGAATTCAAATATTTTGAAGAAATGTGTATTTAGCAACTGAATACATGCTAAAAGAAATAATTTACAGCAGCAGTTTCATTACATTTTTCTCTCCAGTTTTCTAGTTCCCATCTGAAATGCAATGATAAATACAGATTTGGAACATATTTACTACCTGGCAAAAAACATGCTTAGTGAATGGGCATACACCTTCTGCCCTTAAATAACACATAAACCACCTTGTCACTTGTAGGAGAAACTTTTGCATTTTTAGGATGATGTTGAACACATTGAAATGGAGTAATTATAAAACGTAGCATTTTACACTGTTCTTCCCCTTCTTTTCAAAAGTATTTACATCTCTTTTGCCTAATGTGTAGGTAGCAAAAATTGAACTATTAAACACATACCGATGAAAATCACTAAATAATACAAAAAAAGAAGCTTTAAGGGTGCATGTACATGCGGTTTACATTTGATTTCAACTGTACTATGATTTCTCTGCTGGGATATACCTCTTGTCTATCTTGATATTGCTGTCATACGTTGCTTAAAATCATGAGTCTCTGAACACATTTCATCTCTGATGATACATGCAAATGCAAAAGACTATTAAAACTAAATTAAATGGGACATTGATTATTTTTCGTGCAGATAGCCCCTCTCAATACTCATTGGTAGAAAGTTATGACTGTAATGAGCTATTTACTTGCAAGTTATAGCTTTGTGTTTTTTTTTGAAAACTTAGACCTGATGGTTTATAAAGACATGCAAGTAGATTTGTTTATTTTTGAGCCTTTAAAACAAAATCTTGACTTTCCTTCTATTGGTATTTCATAAAGCTAAACAAAATGCATTCAGGTATGGGAAAGTATCCCTGCAGTTCTCATTTAATCTACAGTCCTTCAAATCCATTATTTTGAAGACTAATAAGAAATCAGATACCTCTGTTATTGCAAATAAATTTGTTTCAGCTGCAAGTTTAGAATGAAATGCATCACTGCATTTTAGTATAGTTAAGATACTTTATGTATACAAGAATGACTTATTTTGGAGCACTCATTGTTCTGCAATTTATATTTAAAATACTTTTTTCTGTAAGGAGTGTGCCTTTCAAATAATTTAACAATTTGGCTCCCACTTGAGGATGTACTTCTAAAAGCAATAAGACATTCGTCAATGGTGCCTAAAACTGAATGTAGAATATTTTTAGGCTTTTTATTTGAAAGAAGCATCAGCAAATTGTTTATTCAAAGGAATCATTAAAACTGAAACATGTGCCTCCATCTGTAAAATATTTCAGCTGATAGGAATTGTAAAAATTTCACTGTAGTCTGAGGTGAGAAATTAAGGCTGAGTTAATTAGAATCCCAAGACAGCTAGGGTTAGAATTTCAATGATGCTTCATTAATTAGCAATATGATGCTTCTTTTCATTTTTTTGTGCATAATGAAAGACCTAAGGATGAATCCCTGGAAAGGTGAGTGCAGTGCAAGAGAGACAGTATTGTGATGCTGAAGGTGTTCTACACCATGAAGTCAATGATTACCAATGAGTCATCATAAAACAAAAAAGTAGGCAAGCCCTTAATTAATAATCTTTTATAACATTTATAAGTTGTTGCAGAGGATGAAGAGTTTTACATTATTTCAGGGTGGGTTGTGTCTGAGACAATAGTTTATGTGAAAAATCACTCCTGCTTAAAAAACAACAACAACAAAAGAAGAATCTTGTGTTGAGGTGAAATAAGTGGCAGTTGGGAAATGACTGATGGAGATATAAACAGAGTGGAAAAAAATTAACCTTTATATTGGTTGTTTTGATATCAGAGATGTTCTCTCTCTTTTAGAAATATATTAAGTTATAAGATGAAATTCACAATGGAAGAGAGAGAGAAAGAGAGAGAGAGAGAGAGAGAGAGAGAGAGCTTTTATGTCTCAAATACCATGTAGACATTTTTTATTAACACTATATTAAGACAATGCTTTTAGTTTAATAAAATAATGCAGCTCATTTTCTACTAATTGATCCACTAGGAGGAATAAAATGCATTTAAGAAATCAATTAATTTCTTCCTTTTTTCTGGTTAAAGACTTTTTTGTTGTTATTTTTATGAGAACAGTATGAAGGTTAACATTAATTTAAGTAATACTTAAAGATGGGAAGGTGTGAATGACTTCCATTTGTTTAATTTCCTCAGAAAAATAAAGAATAATTTATATCTAGGATTTAGGAAATTACTGTTAAGGGTGTGCATGTATTTCTATAATAATATCAGCTATCCCTCTTAAGGAACTGAAAACAAAATTTTTAAAAAGCAGCACACATTGAAATTTTTAAAACAAAAACTATATAGCACAATATTTGTAAGACAAAAACCTACTCTAGCTTAGAAAAGAACTAATTTTTACTGCATATTTGTCATGGTACATTTAAATTATAGCTTTAATAAAATACATCTTTAGATCAAAGCTGAAAGAAGACATCAGTAGTAGATCAGTGTGTTCCGTTTTTCTTCTGGGTGATGGATGGTTTATGTTTTTTATATTTCCACAGACCATTTCATTCAGTATCATTTTACTCCTCCAGTACATATAAACAAGAGTGCTGGTAGACAAAAAATATCCTTGAATCCAACCACATTTTGGAATATTCATCAGTGTAGTAAATCCATGCAGTTTATTTTAAACTTTTAGTTCAATAAAATGGCTTTGCTGATGCAGTTTTTCTTCTTTAGATGACAATATGGCAAATGACATTTTTATTTCTCAGGCAAAAAAGAAAGTGAAACCTGTACAATGAAATCTCATAGGAAATATTAAGTCAGCTAGAGTGAACATCTGCATTTACCTGTGACCTCTATTAGGTGTTGGTATTAGGAAGAAAGCCTGTTAGGAAAGTTACTCATGGACTTAATTTATAATTGGTGGAACTCAGCTGAATTTCCCACCATTGTAAACATCCACATAATGCCATGAAAAAGCTCATGTATATTGCATTTTTTCCAGTTATTGTCTAAGCAAGTTTCTACTTGTTTGAGGTTTCTAACGGTAATGCAGCTCAGACACTCCTGGGTGCCCTCTCAAACTCGTGGGTCCTCCTGTTTCTACCTTTCTTATTTTCCTGTAAGTGCTTCCATTTATTATTGCTCCCTTGGCTATGTCCAGGTCTTTGCCGACGTTGTTTTCGGTCCCTTTTCCAAACTTGTTCACAGAACTCATCCATTGTGTTCAGGTTGGGGTGGTTAATGAGCTGCATGAAGTCTCTGTACCAGACTTTCTGACTAGGAGTCATGCTGTTGGATATCTCTTTGGTCTTAGCGCCATCTCCATCATCATCTTTCTGAAGTAGTTCTTCTAAATGCTCTGTGTCGATGACTTCCAATGTCACTTTAAGAAGAGTTTGAATGAATCCATGTTCTATAGCATGACACAAGTAGTTGCCCGAATTTTTCCGCTGTAGGCTCCGCAATAGCAATCCTTGTTCTGTCCTGATGATTTGATCATCCACTCTGATCTGGGGGTAGGAAGGCAGTAAGAGTATATGTATGAATCAGAATCATCTCCACAGCAATGGGTTGTTGTTGTTGTTGTTTTTACATATATATTTTAAAGAAATGTAAGTTCTGTGATACTGTGTCAGTAAAAAATTAGGCTATGTGTTGAATATAATATATAAACATTAAATACATATTTAACAGTAAAAATAAAAATCTAATTTAAGAGAAATCATAGCATTTTCCCTTCAGAGAAAAAGATCATTATCTCTGTCAATTATTTTTAATCTACACATAAAACATTTCTTATACTGCAACTTCAATAGAATTTTGTTAATAAAATAATAACTTTAAATATATAAGATGAATGGAGGAAGGATCAAAGCTATAGTTTATTTTGTAAATTGAAAAACTAGTTTTCTGAATTCTGACTCCTGGATACTCTCTTCTATGTGTGTCAAAGTAGAATTGTGCTCCATTGAGTGTGGATGGCCACTTTTTTGAAAAGTAAACCACCAGACCTTTTTCCTGAGGAACCTTTGGGTAAACTTGAACCGCCAATCTTTTGGTTAGCAGCTGAATGTTTTAACTTTTTGTACTACATAGGGACTCTATAAATACAAAAGCAGGAATATAAATGTGGCAGAATTTTGATATCAACATTAGAAAACTGCTTCTAAAAATGGGGCATTAGAATTACCTAATAAAAATGTTGGAAATGAAATTTAAAAAGCAGCAGTTGAACAAGCAGAAGGAAAATTCCTAGTAATTTTTTCAGTTTTTCTAGGACTTGTAATATGCGCTTGAACATATCCAATGTATTCAATCTCACTTTTATTTTGAAAAAAGCTTATGACAAATATCTCTGAAAGCCCAAATAAGTAAATAAACCTTACCATTTGTATGATATGATTGCATAACTTAAAGGCTCAGCTAGAAATGTCATAAAGGTAATGGAAGGATTTTTACCATTATATTCAGAATAGGTCATATATTTACAGATAACATATTGTTCAAATAAGCTAAATAGTCTGGTTATCATTATTTAATGTTTTATAGCTTTACATTTTAGATACTGACTGAAATTTTCTTTACACAATTCTCTAATTTACAGAGGAAGCTATGGATCTGAGGAGAGAGATCTACCTGATTCTATACCATATGTCTGGACTCACCCTATATCTTTACTACTCCTTACCCACTCCATTCCCTTATTTGAGGAAGAAACTACCAGAGAAGAAATAACATGCTTGGAGGGAAGAACTAAATGAGCAAAACTTAAAACCAGTGGGAGGTTTTGATTTTTTATGTGTACAAACATATAGATGACAGAATTACTTTTGCAGGTAACCACAGGAAAAATATGAAATCTCTGAAATATATCCCAGCATAGCTGTAAACTCCTTGAAGGGCAGAAACTCTTACCAATTCCCCTTTGTTCACCTAACTCCAAGTATACAAAACCTGTCATATAACCAGCCTTCAATTAATACTTATTTCATGAATGATCTATGGATAGATTAAAAAATAAAGATTCATAGTACTTTGTCTTCCATAAAATCAAACATACTGGAGTCACTGAACAGTAAATTAGGTACAATACTTCCATCAGTTTCATTCCTGTACCTCTTCTTTCCGCTCTTCATTTCTCCTTTGGAATTGCCAGTAGACCAGAGCCCGCTGTGACTTCGGACTGCACTCCAGGAATGTGCTACTGTTTTCTACCCCATAGATGATTCTTTCTTCAAGGCTGTGGCTATGGTGATTATCTGGCCCGTGAAGAGGAAATGAAATGGGAATTGTTAAAGGAGCAATCTCAATGTTCCAAAGTATTCATTTGGAAATTTATGAGACAAGTTGGTTGCCAAGTTGGAAGGCTTTCACAAACAGATTGAGGATGGCAGAAATGTCAAGGATGTAAGGTTTCAGAACCCAAATGCCTACCTAACTAGACTAATCATTTTGATCTGGGTTATATAAAGCATATGCAGAGATTTGTCTACCATAAAATAGCATTACATTAACAAAATAAATCATGTGTGGAATATAACTGTATATCTTCATATGTTTTAATAATATTCTTTGTGAAGCTATTTTCACTGCAAATTTCTACATTCTGAGTAAAGGGACCCTTGAAATAGCTATTGTACCAGACTAGTAGAAACAAAACCTGTTTCTGAGGAATTATTTTACCTCTTTATTTTTGTTTTCCATCTGTATAATTAAATTCATCAACCAATAATATTTATCTAGAGCTTTACAGAAGGAAGAGTTCAGGAAGTTGACACTCCACACTAATAACCTCTAAATAATCCACAGGTTTGTTCTGAAGATCAATTGGTATGAAATGTTTGGGATGGCTCAGAATAAAGATACATAACTACAATGCAATGTGGTTTCAATTGTTCTATTTTTAAAGGACATTCTTTATTTTCAAGAATTAGGCAAGGAATATGGTAAGAGTATGTAATAAATACAGCAATAAGGAAACCTGTTTCCTGATTAAGTTTCTATTATTTTACCCTTTATGTAACCTCCTTCAGTGTGGTAAATGACATAGAGTTAAGATCAAAAGTACAACCCAGGGAGTCTAGGTAAAACTCATTTAGAGAAAAAAAACTCCTTGTAATCTTGTATAATCCTGTTTCCATTATGACATCCTGTACAATCTGGAACTTATTAAATTAATTTAGAAAATAATAAATATATTTTCACATACACAGAAAGCTGACAATGTAGACAGATGAAAATTTTTTGCTTTCTACACTAAACTCAGCCAGACATTTAATTAAAAAAATGTTTCCCCGCCTTTTCGGCATCACTCTGACAGTTTTACTCTTGTCATAATCAACTGAGTCCTTTTGTCTGTCATAGCTGATATAATTTACTCATGAGGGTAAAGCATTCCAAAACACTGCTTCCTTTTAAACCCTGTTACCACCATGTTCATTGTCCGCTACTCTCACCCAAACTATAAGTGCCTTTGTGCCTCCATTTGGTCTTGTTAGAGATATCAACCTTGATGTCTTCTTTTTCTATTACTTTATATGTGAAACATTTCTAATTTGGAGAAATTATCTGTCTATTGTTACATATAATTTCAAAGCCCTGAATATAAGAAAAACTACTAAATTACTGAAGTATAACCAAACCAAACCCAATATAATTGATTCCAAGATATTATATCTACATTGAAAACAGTAGGCTTTATTTTTCCTCTGAAATTATTAGTGTATATTATAATCAATGGCATATTTGAATTGAATAAATATGGTAAATGTTTCTGTGCTAGTTTGGAAGATATCGCGGGAAAGAGAATAAAATCGCTATGGTAAATACAGTCTGGAATATTTCAGTTGATTCAGGAGCTACCATGAAATTTTACAATGCCTTGTCACACAGTTCAATACATATATAATGGACACATTACTTTTTGTTAACTATTTGCAGTTTAAACTTTTGTGACCAACAAACCCATATTTTAGCAATTGACCTTACATTAGCCACTCCTTGGAAACCCTATATAATGAGTCATAACCAACTCAATGGCACTTAAAGACAACAAGATATATAGTGTAACAGGAAAAATCCACTTATTTAAAAACAAATGACATGCGATCCACCAAGAAGTTCTCACTCACCAGTAATGTCTCCAGACCTATTTTCCCCTACAGAACTTTTTAACAGTAATTGACTTGTTGCTCATCTAGGTTTTTCTATCAAGATCCAAAAGTATCAAGAGCATGCCATCCTAAGTTACTATAGAATTCAAGGATATAAGCAAGTCACTACTCTCAGACATAGAAGTCTCTTTAAGTCTCTCAATAGATTAGTTGTTTCATAGCTGAGAACAGTGCAACTTTTATGGTAGGAAGAGAATTTAAATATAAATATAGTATCAATCTCTCAATATACATGCAAAAGTTGGTCAATGAATAAGGAAGGCTGAAGAATTGATGCATTTGAAATATGCTATTGGTGAGTCATATTGAATATAGCATAGATTACCAAAAGAACAAATACATCTGTCTCTGAAGATGTATAGTAAGAGTGGTCCTTAGATGTTATTGTAAAGAGATCTCATTTCATTTACTTTGAACAATATCATGGATTGCATTGAGTTCCCCCTAAATATGTGTCAAATTGCCCATGATTCTCAGTGGTTTGGTAATTACATAATAATGTAATTTAGCAGTTATGTAATAATATCACTCATCCTTCATGATGTGATCTGGTGTAATCAGTCAGTCAGTTATAAGGGGATTGTTGTTGTTGTTATGTGCCGTGGAGTCAGTTCCGACTCAGAGTGACCCTGTACAGGATTTCCGAGGCTATAAATCTTTACAGGAGCAGAAAACATCATCTTTTCCCATGGAAGAGCTGGTAATTTTGAACTGCTGACCCTAAGGTTAGCAGCCCGACTCGTAACCACTACGCTACCAGAGCTCCTTACAAGGGGATTAGGGAGGCATATAACACCATTACTTAGGTTAAAGACTTCTGTAGCAGTACTGTGGGATCAGCACTACACTGCAAACCATGAGATCAGCAGTTCAAACCCACTAGCTGCTCCTCTGAAATTCCAGGGTTGCTATGAGTTGGAATCAACTCGACAGCCCTTAACAACAACAACAACAACTCAGGTCACAGCCCTGAAACTACACAAGGGGAATTTTCTTGAGGTGTGGCCTGCAGCACATTTTGTCATACAAGATATAAAGGAGAGAGAAGCAAACTGAGGGAAAGGAACCAGACTACTAAGAAAGAAGAATCAGGAAGAGAGAGCATCCTTTGGACCAAGGTATCTTCACTAAGAACCTTCTAAATACCAAGATATATGGGGATCACCAAGGATTATTAAGGAGCTCTGGTAGCATAGTGGTTGCAAGTCCAGCTGCTAAACTCAAGGTCTTGCAATTTGAAACTACCAGCTGTATTGTGGGAGAAGGATGAGGCTTTCTGCTCCCATAAAGATTTACAGCCTTGGAAACCCAATACAGGGTCACCACGGCATACAACCACCACCACCACCACCACCAAGGGTTGTTGGGTCTGCTATAGTACAATCCAATATAAAATTATATTTAATGTAACAAAGTATTTATACCAAGTTGCTTTTAGATTAGAATAGTCTTCAAGAAGCATCATGACATTCAAATATTTTTCACCTAAATACTTTTATGAATAGATAAAATTATTGTTGCTTTTGTTTAATTGCTTGGATAACTACTTTTGCTAATATTTTAACACTTTATTCCCTATTATTGTTGTAGTTAAGTGCCATTGAATCAGTTCCAACTCATAGAGACCCTCTATAGAGTTTTCAAGGAACGGATGGTGAGCTCGAACCACTGACCTGGCAGTTCGAACTGACTGCAGTCCAGAGCATTAACCCACAGCCCCACACCAAGACTATTTATTACCTATTAAAGTGTCCCTCTTTTTTTTGTCCAAAAGAAAAGAAATAAAGAGAAATATCTCCTGCTAGTAACTGAAGCTAAAACACCTGTCACATTAACTTTCAACTATGATAAGGTTCAAGATGAACTATCACGTTTATTTGGTTTGAAATTCTCCTGTTTTATTGTTTTGCTAGGTTTTGCTACCATTAACAGTAATAACGAAAAGTAAATTTACATTGAAAACATTTGTTTTTGCTAAATCCCCTGCAGCTGAACTTTTCTACCACTTGAAACATTTACCTGAGAGCCAGAACTTTCATTTAAGATGTCTTTAGTCCATTTCTGTATATTTGGGTGATGACTGTAAATGTGAACATTTTTCTGTTAATTTTTCCCATACCTACCACCTTATAAATACTTTACTAGAATTATAAGAAGTCAGTCTCTAAATATCTATTGCCTTTTCTGACCTTCTACCCTCATTATTTGCATACATTTTTTTATGGACTAGGAGACATTTGTTGTTGTTGCTACATGTGGTTGAGTCTGTTCTGACTCATCGCCATCTTGCATAGGGTTTCTGAGACTTTAATGCAGAGCAGCAAGCTCCATCTGTTTGCCACAGAGCAGCTGGTGGGCTTGAACTGGCAACGTTGTTGTTTGCAATCCAGTGCTTATTCTATGGAACTACCACACTTGCCAGGAATCATTAGACATTCAATAATACTGTCTCATCTCTCAAGTATATATGAGTGTATTTTTTAAATGTTACCAACCGGAACAGTATTTTGATTCTGCACTCATAACAACAACCTTATTAGGCTCTCCAATTTTCTCTGGGAATGTTAAACATCCTGTCACTTTGGCTATTTTTTAAAGTAAAGGGCTCTGCATAGAACTGTCAGCATAAAATAGGCTGAGTAGTTCTCTGAGAATAGAACTCATTGTTAATTGTCCTCTTGTCAGTTAACAACCTGCGATATGCAGATGATACAACCTTACTTGCTGATAGTGAAGAGGACTTAAAAGTATTTACTGATGAAGATCAAAGAGCACTGCCTTTGGTGTGGATTGCATCTCAATGTCAAGAAAACAAAAATCCTCACCACTGGACCAATAAACAACATTCTTATCAGTGGAGAAAACATTGAAATTGTCAAGGACTTCATTCTTCTTGGATCAACTATCAACACTCATGGAAGCAGCAGTGAAGAAATCAAACAACTATTGCATTAGGCAAATCTGCTGCACAAGACGTTTTTAAAGTGTTTGAGAGCAAAGAAGTCAGCTTGAGGACTAAGGTGCACCTGACCTAAGCCATGGTATTTTCAATAACCTCATACGCATGTGAAAGCTGGACACTGAAT